GTTCTTGCTAACAATATATTAATTTTGAAATTACGGCATGTTATCATATATTTGCCCTAAAGTACATTCATGGTTGCCTTCAGAGGTCTTGACTTTTATCCTTCCTTGCTATTTTCTTAATGACCTTCACTGAACAGTAACATCAAGTACTTGATGTTCAATGAAGACCATTAATTTTTTACAATTAAATGGAAGATGCATACTCCTACAGCATATGACATCCACTCATTCGTAGCAGGAAATGAACTTTTAAAAAAAGGGTTGTTACAGACTTCTGAATGATAACGGTGTCAAAAAAAGGAAGCACATATGCACAGCATGGTACTCCCAAGAGGAGCAACTGCCCTTGCTGTGTTCTATAGAGAGTGCTGAGACCTGATACAACAGTAATTTTATTGATCTGCTTGATTTCTGGTGTTGATTTGACATCAAATGTATTCTGCTAACTTTAAGATGAGGGATTTTTGTCACTGATGTCATAAGAACAAGGGCAGTTCTACTCATGCAGGGACTCATGGCTTGGTGAAATTATTCGAACTGCCCTATGCTTGACACGCACTTCAGTCCAGCAGTGCGTTTACGCAGGGGTAAGGAAATAGAGAGGATCTATCACCTTCCCCACTCGTACAAGCTGTGAAGTAGAACTGGCCCATGAAGGGTCTTTCTAGGCTGTAGTTCTAGATGCATAACTATGAAACACAAAGCATTCAATTACAATTCTTTCATGGCATGTAACCTAATGAAGAGCTCTGTTACAGAGCCAGGATTAGAGACTCTATCTGTGCCAGGGTACAGCCAGACCTGTAATTTTCAAGGGTTTGGATTGAAACAAAAGTTGTTGTAGCTTAGCCAGTTTCTGTGTGTTAGCTGAGCCAACAGCTGGGTCATGATACTGGATGTGTACAGGCTGTTAGACCGGAGAACATTTTAATTATGACCTCTGTGAGAAAAATTTGATTTATATAATGATTCTACCAGCAATTTGTTCAACAACCATTGTGAAGATGAACAAATAAGAAGATTCCCAAACTCCTGAAAGCATGAACCATTTTAAAACAGGAAAGAGCTTAATAAGGTAGAATTATAACAACAAAAAATTGGCTGAGAGATTTGTGAAAGAGCATGATCATTCAAAGTTTGAATGAAACAGAAGAGAAGCAATTGCCATAAACTTTTTCTGTTTGGAAAAAAATTATGCTATCATGCCATATATTATGGCGTTGCTATAAATGCAGGCAGAGTATGAATGTTGTTTTATTAATTCAAAAGGGATTCAAGGCATAACTAACACAAATCTCTTAATAGAAATTTTACACCTAGTGGAATTTTTGCTATTTACTTGACTGAGCTCAGAATTTTAGTCCATAAAAAAATTGCTTTTTTAAGGCATAACCCCCATGTCCATTGAAGCCAATCAAAGCTTTTCCAGTGACCATAAATGACCTTTCATTAGGGCAGTAGCTCCTTCACAAAAGCCCATTGTCACTGCTATAGCCTTGCAGACCTTCTTCACAATTATACTTGTTATGGTTGCATTCCTGAAACTGCTTTTGTCTTCTTTTATCTGAGATAGAGCTAACAAGGCCTGCTTTTCTAAGTTTCTAATGGGCTGCTATGATCTGAAGTAATCAACAACCCTCTTCATTTTTTTTTTTTTTTTTATGATTTTGTGCAAGGTTTTCTTTTTTGCTTGTTTTTCTCTTTGTTATCTTTGAATATTTTGGATGAGAAAGCAGGATGTAATGGTCTTACTGTTTCCTTATGATATGTTGTCAGTAAATAGGCAGAATAGCAGTTTTACTTGTGTTTCTTCTAAACAAATCTAAAATTGCAATTCAGATTTCTTCTTGTTTTAATAATTGAAAATTATTTTCTCTTCTGTAAAAATAAACCAAGATTTTTGGTTGCATTCTCCATCAAACACAATCTTTTCAGTTTGTTACTTTCTCAAGTCCTGCTTTGTTTATTGCACAAATCTGCTTTTTTTTTTTTTTTTTTTTTTTTTCCCCATTGTGATCTCAAGCAGTTATTTCCTATGTTGTACTGGCAAATATCTTGTGCTCTCTGTTTTGGGGAACCAGTTCTGCTGGGTTCCACCTTCCACAGCCAGTGTGGTGCACCAGTTCATGAATTTTAGGTCTAATTCTAGCTTTACTAAACCAGAAAGATTTTCTCTTTCTTGTTTGGCTTAAATTTGATTTTTTAGGATTGGCAAGTTGCTATGAAGTATTTTGGGGTTCTACAATTTTTTTTTCTCTTGGTTTCTATACAATTTTTATTGTCAAATGCTAGAATTCAAACATCTCCCTGGGCAAAGACACTTTGGCTTCTGCAGAACTTATAGTTGCCAGATGTACTTCCCCAGTTATTCTCAAGACTAATTTGAAGACCTTTCATAAAGAGCATGAGTTTAAACATGAAAAGACAAATGCAAAGTCCTGTATCTGGGATGGACACATTCCCTGCTGTTACAGGCTTGGGACTGGCTGCCTGGGTTGCTGCCTTGTGAAAAGGGACCTGGGGGTCCTGCTGCACACTACGCATGAATCAGCAGGGCTGTACTAAAAAGTGTACAGCCAGCAGAGCACAGAAAGTCATTATTCCCCTTCACTCATCACTCATTCAATTGCATCTGGAATCTAATTTTAGGCTCTGACCATCGGAAATATATAGATAAACTTCAGTGAGCTCAGAAGAGGTCTGTCAAGGCACCCAGGGGTTGGTGTACTTGCTCTGTGAGGAAAGGCTGTGGAACTAGACTTGTTTAGCCTGAAGATGAGGTGACTTCAGGGGAACCTTGCAGCATATCTGCAAGCAGGATACTGCAAAGATGGAGCCTTGAGCTGCACCATCAAAACAGGGAAATTCTAACTGGATAGGAGGGAAAAAAAAACCCCAAAATTACAGTGATGATAACTGACATTTATTAAGCTAATTGGAACAGATGACTCAGAGAAATTGTAGAGAATCTGAAGTTTTTCAACATCAACTAGACAAAGTGCTAAAAAATTTGTTTTGAATTAGTACTGATCCGGTTTTGAGTATTAGGTGGAACTAGATGATATCCCAGAGTTCCTTCCAACCTAAATGATTCTACGAGCATATTGTTCCTATAAGGCAAGAAAACAAATATGCATAAAAGATGTAACCAGCCCTGTCTATTGAAAAAAACCAACTAGCCTAGCAAGAATAATATGCTATAGCCACGCAGTCAAGTTTGTAAGCCCTGCTATGCGGATGTTGAAAGTAAGAGAAAACCCTGTGTTTGTAAAGTTTGCAATCAGCTGAACTGGACATATGGTGAGAGTAGGAATACAGTAAGTTGAAGTGATTTTCTTGAAGTCATTCTTGTCTTCAGGGTCTCCTGAGTTCTAGTCCAGTGCTTAAATACTTAACCACACTGCACTCATACTCTCTGCATAGATCTTGAATTTTTCTGAAGATTAATGTTTCATAAAAGATATCCTATTTGAGAGAGAAGTGGTTATTCAGAAGATTAAGGTCTTTTTCAAATGGGATGTTCATCTATGCCAGGTGGTAAGGTAAATCTGAGTCATAGATATCTTTTATTTCCTTGGCCAGAGAGTGCAGTGAAAGTGCAACTTGTCAGTTTTGACTTCCAGTTACAAGAGCACCAAGAATTTGAGTTTCTGAATTTGATCCTTCACTTCTCAGCAACTGACATATTCTCCTGGATACCAAGTGCTTAAAATTTAAATAACACAATATTATTTTGTTTATCCCTTTGGATAGTTGATTTTTTTTTCCTGCAGAAATATATCTAGCTTGATTTTATGCCAAGCACATTTTACATTCTAGAAACTTCTGAAATCTTTACACAGCCTAATGCTGCTGTTAGCTGCCATATGTTGTTATAGAAGCTGTCCCTATTCTCCTGCTTTCCGGTCAGAGTTATCCTCCTATCTTCCCTTGCAAGATAATGCAAGGTAATTTGGGATGGAACATTTTTTCTGCCTTCTAGTGCAGTCATATGGTTTTGTAAAATCTAATTAAGTGTGGCTGCATTTGGGCTGCTGCCCTTTTATTAGGAAATGTTAGCAGGACATGATACAGGGGGAGCAGAGTTACTCAAATCTGTGACTCTGAATTTAAGAAGCAGTTTGCAGTTCATCTTCTGCATTAAGAAAAACAACAAAGTCAATCATAAATTCAGTCAGTCACTGAAACTTCCAAAGAATTATCTGGCTTCACTGCAGGCACAGATAAATTAGAGATTATGGGCATAAGTCTTTTTTCGCACAAGGGTAAATCAGGAGCTCCATCACTGAAGTCAACAGATCTCAACAAGAAAAGAATTAGGCCCTATGGCTTTTAGTAAAAGGAATACAAAGAGTTTAATTACAAGGAATCATGCTGAACCTCCCTTCCCCCATACACAGACACTGCACATGTTCTCCGGTTTGTCTATTGCAACATTTTTGTACTTCTGTTTTCCTTATCCTAATCAGATACTATCAGTGTGCATATAACAGGGACTTAGATGTTATAAGGATGGGGCCATTTAGGTATTAACACATGGGGTGGTTAAAGCACTGGTCGAGCTGTAGCTCAGTTCTGTATGAAAAAACCTGGTGAAATCCCAATTATGCTGCAGTTTATTGTCATTCATGTTATGATTCAGAAAAACCCAAAATTCTCACAGGAGGAGTTCCTATTCTTGTACCAGGGAGGGAGTTTCTCATGTAAGCAATACCTCTTTAAGGATTAAAATAATGCATAGCACATGTAAATTAACAGCTGCTGGAAATTCAAGTAATAAAAATATAATGTTTATTTCCACATATTTAAATGGTCTTATATGTCTATAAAAAGACTTGAAAATAAATCACACAAAGAATTACATTTAAACCATCCTCTATGAAAACCTCTAAAAAAAAAAGTGGGTGTAAGATGAAGATCCCAGTTGTGGAGCATAAATAATAGTTTAGGAGCAATCAGTTGTTGTACCAGGTTATTTTGACAAAACTGGAAGTACTTACAGTCTAAGTGACTATGTCTAATGCCTTCCACATCTTCAGCATGAATGAAGTGGTAACACCTCTTTCCTACAATATCTACAGGGGTCAGATCCATGTAATCACTAATCCTAAAAAGGAAAAAGAACATACAGCCTATAATTCAAGAAAGAAAAGAACAAAAGAATTGTCAAATGACTCAGAAAGTTAAATCTGCTAAAAAGTTTTTCAGCATTATATAATTTGAATGGAATATCTGTACAAATGAGACAAGGCCTTAGAGGAAAAAAAAAATTAAAGAAACATGGAAATTATTTTATCTATTTAACTAAGTGGAAAATTAAATTCTAGTACATATTCTCCATGTAGCATAACACCAGGACAATATAATTCCATGAAATTGTAAAGCATTAGTGACAATCCAAAATCCTCATTAAAAGACTAAGATGATTCAAGGTTACATAATAAAGTAGAAACATGTTATGTTTATACCAAATGATTAGAGACACATTTCATTTCAACAGATTGGTCTTCTATTGGGTATATTCATGAAAAAGCTCTTCAACCATTTCTTGGCACCAAGTCCAAACTCATATTTCAATGGATATAATTTAAATGCTGAGACACACAGATGCCTCAGGGTGTTATCTTCTTTAGTCTAATTCATTTGGGAGCTCAGCTTTCACTCTGGGCCCTTTCAACTGGGACTTTGTTGTTTATTGCACATAGAAACTTTAAAATCTATTCTGCAGACCTTTGTGTGTGTGTGTCTGTGTACTTGAGTCTGCGTGCTTGTGTAAATTTGTATCATGGAGAGTCAAGGTGTCAACGTCCTTAAACACAGTACAGAAATTAAAAAGAAAATTAGAAAATGTCCTGCTTACGTAAGCATTTGAAACTATGTCTGTTGTCTAGATATAGAATATTTTTTTAGAATATTATTTTATATTAGTCTTCAATTATTGTGGTACATTCTATGATAAGATCAGAGAGAGGAAATCCCACCCTGCTGGCCTAGTAGAAAGGGGCAGGCCACTCTAGGCAGACCACTATCCTGTGGTCCTGTAAAACATATGCATAGGCTTGTGTTGGAGCAGATCAATGGTTCCACTGACTTACAGGACTGTTAACATGATTGAAATGTAAAGGTAGGCATATGGTACAGTGTTTTGCTGAATTTGCTGAAATCGTGCACACATTTGTAGGCTTGAGCTTTGCTACACAAGATTGCTTCTGCATATCTGAAGGATTTACTGACAACCACTGTCATGACCAACAAGCCAAACCTCTGCCATGTGCTTATTTCTTTCTGGGCACATATTAGCAGATGTGGTATCACAGTCCACATTAAACTGGCTATTTTCTCTCTCCAAATGGTCTTCAATCCTTAACAGTTGATTCTGAAAACACGCAGACTGATCATGCACTCTAGCAGCAGCCTCTCATTTTGCTTTTAGTTATTTATCACCGTCAGAGGTGATTTATCCTTTGCAGGTGCTTTTCTCACTCCACTGACTAATAAAGAAATCCCAGATTATTTCAGATGGTGAATCTTAGATGACACAAATCCTACATTAACAAAATAGACCCAGATTAACGTACCACATTTTAGGCCACAAAATTTTACACCTGTATTTTACACTCAAAGAAAAATATTAATTTTTAGAAACAGCCAGTATAATATCTAACAATTTTTTTTTCTCAGAGGGAAGCTAATGTCTGGCTAGTTTGTGCACTGAGTCCAGGATTATGAAGGAGATCTCTTCATTCCAAGGAAAGTAACAAGATGCACCCAAAGAATTGAGTAATGTCATTCCTGCTCACTGCTGTTTCAAGCAGGCAACCACTTGGAAAAGTAAGAGTACTATTGATCTCACCCCTGCTGATCCAATGGTCCACTGTGAGCATTCATTTCAGTTAAGTGGCATGGCTTCTGCTCCATACTCCCTGCAGCTGCCAGTAACTCCCCATTGCTCCATAAATAGTGCTTACAGCTCGCCCAGCATGGATCCATTTTTCTCTGTTTTCATCAATGTTGTGCTTGCTTTACTGTGGCACCACAAAGAATTTCGTAGCTGCCCGCAAGTGCCAGGAGTCAAGCTCATATATTCAGGGTGGGATACTTATCTCCTTTTCTATAATCCCAGAAGAGAGATCCCAATGTCCCTGACTCAGAGAACAGCCTTGGCAAACACCCAGATAATTAATCTGACAGCTTCAATCAGCTGTTCTGTTAATTCCTTCCCCTCCTGTGGTTTTTTTTGTTGTTGTTAGTTTTTTGTTTGTTTGTTTGTTTTTTGTTTGTTTCATTTTTACAGTCATATTCGGCACTGTAGCTGTTATGAAATCCAAGTTATTTCAGTTTTATTTCATTTTCCATGAGTGGAAATCCTGCTGCATCAGTGAGATCACATTCACCTCCAGCACTGGGAGAAGTATTTCTACGAGTTGAAACTACTTTTATAAAATATTTTTAACAGATTTTTAACAAAGACACAGAGGCTTAAAGTCGCATTATTGTAGCATACATTCAAGTACCACTATATGCATTCTGCATTACCACGAGATAAATCCATAACAAACAAGAAAAAGCTGGTTTATAATTTTGCCTTCACCTTAAAAATTGAAAAAAAAATTAATTCAACACTTTCTTGCTGTCTTACCATAGTTTACCATGTTTTATCAGCACTTCCTACGCGACTACCAATCAGTGCACCTCACCTGATGAATTTTACAGTTTTCAGTGATATCTTTCTGGGGCATTTGAAAGTTTTATTGCTACATGAATATAAAGGGAAGGTTTGAGAAAAATCTTTAATTAAAAAAAACCCATGTATACAATTTAGGGCTCATAAAAATGCCAAACTCACAGCAGAGAAAGCATAAATCTTCCTAATTTGGCCTAAAAGTTCATATAATTCTTGACCTGATGGAAGAGTTCATTTTTCACATCTATTTGATTCCTGGCTTTTTTAATGGAGGTTGCCAATAAAGGCAGCAGTAAGTGCAGGTGATTTTGTTAAAAGGGAATTTGTTCATTAGGAACTGGATAGATACCAGCAACTGACTTCACAGAGGCCTTTGAAAATCTCTGCAGTGATAGCAGCTTTCCATTACTACCTAGCTAGGTCACAGTGAAATCAGAGACTTAGGGAAAAGTTTTGTTTTAGATCCTATTCCTAACACCCAGAGCTCTTTTGCCAGCTGCCAGATTATAGAGCATCTGGATACTCACTGGCTAGAGCCCCACGCAAAAAGCCCAAGCTTTAATGCCATTGTCCACTTTTTCTGTGACCTTGTGCAAGCTTAAAAATAAGAATAATATATTCACTTTTAGAAAACGTTTTGGAAGTGTAGATGAAGTTTCTAATAGTCAAGTTATATTATTTTAAAAAGTATTGCAGCAGTGCAGCAATATGGCAGCAAAGACGACCTCATAATTGAAATCCAAGATTATTTTAGGTTGTTTAAGATCCTGATTCAACAAAACAGTTGTTTATCCTTTTTAATAAAAGTTTATATCGATGTGCTATCCTGATCACAGGTATTCTACTATAATTGAGCAATTATGATTTCTCATATCAGAGAGCTTCCACTCAATTTATAATATGCCATCATTGCTGTCATAAGAAAAGCTTGCAGTAGTCACCGTGTTTCTTCTACTTTTTGATGATGTCCTCTTCACAAAATTTATTTTGGCTGTGTTCCTTCTTCCTTTCCAACCTTTTCCCCATACCTCAGACTTCATCAATGGACCCAAACGTATTACATGTAATTTCCTTCTCAGATATTTTCACTCTGCTGTAAATACCTATTCCCTGGATTATATTTTGATTTTTCAAAAATATAATCCAGAGAATCTGGGGTGTTAATGGTCTCGATCACCCCTCTGCTTTCCAGGCCCACCCACAGCCCAGGCCGCCATGGCAGCCTCTGTCAGTGCCCCGCTCCCACAGCCCTGCCTGGCCTGACCCAGCCCACCCCACTGCCTGTCCTCGGGAGATGCCCAGTGCAGGGGCTGGAGCTGCCCTGCACCCCCCGGCTGTCCAGTTCCCCTCTGGGGTCGGGATGGGCCCTGGCTGCCATGTCCTGCCCTCACAGGTCACCACGCAGAGCCCCCAGTGCCACGGGCACCCAGCCCCCAGGGAGTAGGACTGAATTTAAATCCTCTCTTTCACCTTCCCAGATCACTCAGCACTATCACACAGAACACAGCCCCCCCAACCAGCTCCTCATCACCTGTTCCCACTTCACTGATGTCTGTCCCAGTATGCCCTTAACCAATTTTATTCTACAGTTTTCCCACCTCTAACTGCAACAGATCCCACCTCTCTAGCCTACTATCTAGGCCATCTGTGCTTCTGTTCCATTAAACACTGAGCATGATAGCTGTAATCTGCAAATTAGTTCAAAAATGGAAAACTTTAAAACTTCCTACAGAAAAACTTGTGGAGGAGCATAAGGACAGGCATGCAGGTCAGACCAACGTCTGTCTAGTCCCAAATCTTGCCTGTGAGAGGGACGGTGAACGATTGTTAAAAGCAGAGAAAGCTTAGAGGAATATTTCCTGGGGTATCTTGCCCTGTTCCAGAAGACATCCTGCAAATTACAGTTTTAAATTTACCTTTATCTTCTAAGCATGTAATAAAAATGAAGGTAGCGATGATGAGAGTGAATTCAGTGCTCTCCTACAACACCAGGATGACATTGCAAGAGTCAAAAATTTCAAAATTTCTTGCTGAGCCCATGGAACAAAGAATACATGCAACTAAAACAAAGAAGTAAAGGATCTAAAGGCCATACCTATTTTCACAGTAAATGATATTGAGGTCCATATTCACACGAGTGACAAACATATGGCAGTCAATCCTGACTTCATTAATTGTAGGAGGTGGCAAAGCATGAGCAACGACAACAAGTCCCATGATTTGGCTGGGCACTGTCCGCCCGTGTGACAGGGATACTCTCAGACGTAACCGGCCTGTTATATGAATCACCTGGAAAATAAAAACAATAAAAAATACCAGTGAATTCTGAATGCAACTGTGACATCAGTTTATTTTAAAGAATAGCTTTACTGTTCCCTACAGACCACTTAACACTGCTTAAAATTGTACTAAGTAACTGCCAGTATCATTGCTAAGCTTATTAATATTGGCTGTCAACAAGCCCTATGTGTCCTCATGGCAAAAAGAACATAAGAGGCAAACACTCCACATTCATCAAATAAAAACCTAAGAACTGCTGTGGTGTTGATTTTTGCTGTGGTGGCTGTTAGACAAAGAAGGAACAGCCACCACAGAAGTAGAAATTCCACAAAAGAGAGAGTGGGATAAAACTGAAATAATGAAGCTGGAAATTAATAAAGTAACCACTTTATAATATTAGGAAAATTGAATGTGGCAGAAGAAAGATCAGCACTTTTGAAACATAATGGATTTAACTGAGTTGGTTGTCACCTACACCACGGAAACGCTGCCTTGAATTTCTTCTGGCAAATTGAGAAGCAACAGCCTACAGGTGCTCTGTGAGCTCAGGTGCAGGATGGTCTTTCTGCATCCACAGTAAAACATTTAAAGAGTTGGTATACATGTAAGGCCTTTGCCTAGTGCACTAGGCATGTATGGAAAGCACTGGGGGTGGTGGTTTTCTTCCATATGCACAATATAGATAATACCAGAAGATGCTCAGATCCAATAGCATCCATAAGAACTGTATCCCCTTTCTATGTTCCCTGAAATAGAGTAAACTGAAACTCTGAGAAAAGAATAATTTACTACTTCCAGTTTCACTCCTTCAGGAGTTTTGTGTATAAATAAAGGGGTTGTTTTATCCAGTAAAATAATATAAATAGAGCATATTGAAATGAAAATGCAAATTACAGTTCCTGTACTCATGGATAAGAGAGGCACAAGAATTGCCCGTTGCAGGCTGTCACAGATTTTCATCCTCAGAATGTGGTACAACATCAACATTAAGAGAACTGGCAGGAGAAACTTCCATTAGAGAACTGGCATTAAGAGAAACTTCCAAGAGATGAGGGTCCCTTTCTCTGTCATTCTAGACTCCCTACCCAGAGAAGTTGGTAAATTCCTGGGTCACAGGAGGAGATGACAAAAATGGGGTAAAAAGTGCACTGATACTCCTTTCACAAAGACAGAAGACAAACCCTTTACTTCTGATCTGAGATTGATAATAGAAAGTGAGAAGAAAATTTGTCATTTTTAAGACCGCAAATCACAAAGTGCATCCAAATTCAGATTCAATTTGTGCTAATAGATCTATGACATAAGACTTGAAATTTGTTTCTTTTTTTTGACCTAATCATTGAAACATATCCTTTCACAACTATTACAAAATTTGAGCCTAGCCAGTGTGGTGAATCTGAATGAGGAAAGTGATTAGCTGCTATACATGGCAATTTCAGTTACAGGTTTCTGACCACCCATGTTTAAAGTAACTGTTGCCTAAACTCACACTTAATGCACCTTTCAAGGGCAAACTATTCTATGAATATTTGAAAAAGTTCCTAAAGGCAAAGATGCAAAAACAGTATTTCAAACCCACTTTAATTATTTATTTTTCTTAAAACCTCATTAGCTAATGAAGAAATAGCTAAAAGAAATAGGATTAACTTCACAGGAGGGGCAGTAATAGTATATTTTGCTCCTTCAAGCTAGGCTTACATATACATCTGCTTTTTATCATTATCTGTCTCTTTTTATCATGCAGTTTCAGCTTACTGCAAAACTCAAATCTGTAAATGCTTGGAAAAATGCTGATGGATAACTGGTAAAAATGTGAAAATTTATCTTATCCTGAATGTGCTATGCAAAAGTATCATTTTTCTGTTGTTTTTTTCGTAAAAGTCCTTATGCTAGTGTGTTTGAAGTTGGCACGAACACTTCAGGGAATTTTTAAGCTATATTATATATATATATCTTTGTATTTTTCTAAACCTTTATGTCATTTGCAGCTAAATATCAAAATTATTTGTTTTTGAACAACTCTTTATTCAGGCAGTACCTCACTTTTTTCCTGATTCTTCATCTGAAATACACTTCAGATGTAGTATTGCCCAAGAGACAGTTCCAAACCTGCTATGTTAACCATATGTTAACATTGTTGAATTTCAAGATAATTTGCTTCCAGATTCAAATTATTTAGCATGCTCCTAATTCCACCATGGATCAAAACATATTCTGAATTCCTATGTGAAGTAAAATTTTAGGGGTCAGCACTCAACTGCATTCTAATTCTGTACACTGGGAAATGTACAGCAAACTACCCATCAGTTCCAGTGCCTGTGTGCCTCTAAAGTAACTGTATTTCCATGCCTGAAACCCCTTTCTAGGACAACATTAGTCAAAGTGGGAAAATCTAATTGGTAGTAAAAAACAATTCTAATGGTCATGACCTTGTCTATATTGTGAGTATTGCCACTTTTAGCACTGGTTCATTTGAACTGGGATTAGGGGTGATTGGAATTATAGGGTCAATTATCTCCCGTAGCTAAAATTAATCTCTTTATAATTCAATCCCACAGCACTAGTCTATCATATCCTAAAACAGTATTATGACTTTAATGAAGCTAAATTGCAACAATAAACTGTTTTATGAAGGACAATACTTGGCTCCAGATGTAAATATAAAATAAGAATTTGCTAGGAATTTACTGAAAAGAAAAAGTAAACTCAGCTCTTCTGTGCAGTTTCCTTTATAAATGATTCCTTTTGAAAACTTTGTCCTAATCAATATTTAAACTATCTTCTTTCTTTTAATGACATATGAATAGACAGGCACATTTAGATGTCACAGCAAGAGAAGACAGTGATACTGTGTTCTGTTACAAAAAGGTGGGTGAATGCTATACTCCTGATCACAGGATCATCAGAAACTTTTTATGTCAAGAACTGTACAGATTTCCCCATCATTTCTTCATCTACATTCTAAATTAAATTAATAAAAAGACTTTTTTTTTATATTGGTGGGAGCTGGACCGGGTTAACTGTCCAGAGACTTCTTTGCTTACAAACTGTTTATTAGTAGGTGTAACTGTGATTCTATGATTCACACTATAGAAGCCCAGGGAAATCTTATGGTTGAAATAAATCATGTGACCCGATCAAGACCAGAATTTCATTAGGCTATTCTGATCTATATTATTGCTTGTAGTATAACCTTGGATAGGCAGGTGGGTGAAGAAAAAACATTTTGCAAAACCAAAACTTTTAACACTGAGAAATGAAAATAACACATATACTGTAAAAACGTAATGCTGAAGCAAAACAAATACTGTAAAAATCTTCTGTACTGCTTAACTGCTTTGTTTAAAACAAAAAATCTAAATCAACTTTGCCTAGCACTCCAATATTGGAAAAAAATTATTTGGCTTTTATTTTTAGCTGATTAGAAAACGGATTTGCAAAATATTGTAAGCACATGTAAACACATGAGTTTATGAGTGTGGGAGTGTTAACAAGCCACATTGGTTGGACAAATATATATTTCTTTTCCCTGCCATATGCTCTCTTTAGTCATCTGTTAGTGATATGCACTTAGATGTGCTCTACTAATGTCTACTCATTATAAACAAGTGCATCACAGAGACCTTGATAAAACCTTCCCTCTGTCAATACTTAAGGAAAGTAAAACTCAGGAACTGAAAACCACATCTGGAACCTGCTCATCATCCTTTAAAGCTAAATCCCATCTCTGAAGATGGAAATACTTTCTTTGTCAAAAGATATCTTTAAATATTGCATCCATCTTGTCACATATATGTGATGTCAGAGTAAGGACATGCATTACCAGAGGCTATAAAAACCTGCAAGCATGAAAAATCTGTGAATTTCACCTTTCAAATGTCTCTTCAAAACTTAAACTTCAATTTGAAACAAATTTCTAAACTACTTCTTTTGTTCTCTGTGTAAATGATTATGCCAGTTTATTGTGTGTGTGAAACCACAGCACTGGCAGAAGTTGTCCCTCCAGCTCATTTAGTAAGACATTAAATTTGAAGTCTTAAAATTATTGTGTAGAATAATTTTTTTAGAAAACAACCACATACAAAAACATCCAAATGTATTTAGTGTGTGCACCTAGCTACTTAACTATTTTATAAACAACCCTCACACACATCCCCCTTTACAGAAACAGCTGTTTCTGAAGGATATATATATATATACATATATATATATATATATATATATATACATATACATATATATACACACATGCATATATTTGTTTTGGTCTCTCAAAGATGTTATTTTATACTTCCAAAATCACCACCTAAATCTTTAAAACACAGCCAAATTAAACTGATGAAATTGGCCAAAGAAATATCTTACAAACTATACCCATATTCACTCATTTTCCTTTCAAAGAGTTGTGTGTTCCTTCACTCACTGGTTCATGCATCTCAAAATCTGTATGTGACACCAGTGAGACGAATGTTTTAACACTCTGCATAGTAATGAGTTCCTGCATGGCTTCAGGTGATTTCTAAAGTAAGAGTGAATATTTGGAAGCAGAATTTCCTCTGGACTAAGAGGAAAACAGAGCCCAGTGTCATATTGGGAATTTACACAATGACATCTGAAAGGTTTTCCTTTTCTGACATAAAAATATAACCATGTCTATCAACCTGAACTTCAGTATAGGATTCTTCATGGTGTCTACACACCAACCTTGTCTTGTTATATCAAGTCTGCACCAGAACAAAGAAAAGTAGTACTTAGTGCATATGTCACTGTTACATTCAGAACCATAGTGGATGAAAATAAAACAAGGCAATAGTCTATGATTCCTGAGAAACAGCTTCGCAGTTGGTCTTGAGTTAGGCAATGAATGCCATGTGAAACCAGTGCTCAGAGTTGTGGTCTTGAGCACCCATTCAAAGAATATGAGTTGGATTTCAAGGAGGGGGAAGATTATTCCTTACACATACATAGTTTCAAGGTCAATAGCCTCTCTCCCATCTAGAAGTGTATTT